GAGAGGCGAACTTGTTAGCACTACTTCATCAGCGCACGCTGGAAGCATTTCTCAAGTCCGAACAGGCCAATATTTTGATATAGGTCTCATTGAAAAGAAACTCATTCGTTTGTCTTTCAAATTTCCAAATAAACAGTAACAGTAGTTTCAGTGAGCGGAATCCAGGTTTGATTACTTGAAACGACAGCCAAACTGGCATCCATCCATGCCGGTTCCTACTGTCCACTAGTTTTCCACATACGGGGCAGCTATCGATTTCTTACGTCAATTGTCAATAAAAACATACCAACTTTTTTCGTACTTTGTAGCTAGTACAACCTCAAACCTCGTTATTCACGGTCATTGTGACTAATGTGCAGAGTAGCGGGCTTTTTGATTCCAGGCAATGGCGCCCACACCAAGCTATTGGAATGGATACTATGTGGTTGTAAATTTCATCAGGGCGACGAGTACCTTACTGGCGGTGGTGGTGGAGCACACTGTGGTACCGGCACTGGTGATGACTGCAGGTGGTAGGATGGTTATGGTACAGTCCAATTTTTCCACTTTCTCACCTTTGCACACACATCCTACCGGAAATGTGGTTGTTTATGGGGTGTTTCGTTCGCAAGTAGCATGTGTACGAAAACTGAGTCGCAATGTCACTGTATTCACGGCGTTTGTTGAATCCGATTGCAACTGCGATTGTGCAACAAAAGTGAAGCATATGAATTTCGGTTTTTGTTTGATTAACTTGTTTCGGATTAAACATGTGATGCGCATCACTTGAAGATGGTGATATTCCAAGCTTCATGGGTTTTCTTGTTTGTTATAGTTCATGGGTTTAGTCGAAGCTCTCATATTGATTGAGAGTAAGTGTGAGACTGAAGTGACGATACGACTCCGTCGGTTTCGATCAACCGGTTTGTCGGGTCACTTATTCTGATTCTAAGGATTTGGGGCTCGATTTCGAAACGGCTTTCACGATTAATGCGGTTTACTGATTAATAATCAAACATCGTGAAACAGGTCTCCATAGAAAGTGATGCAAGTTTCTGCTTCAAACAGGCGTACACTAGTCTGACGCATTCGCCTCTTGAGAGTACGTGGCGCGCGTCTATGGCGCTGCAAGTGGAGTACATTACCCAATTCCATCCCAGACTTTGTGAATCGTACATGGATTCATTAAAAACCCTTCCGTCAGAGCTAATTTAGTCATCCACAAAAACCAAGCAGTTCTCCTTGAATTCCTACGGCGTATTCGAAGACCGAGAATTCGAATACATTATATCGCAACTGGTAGATTCAAAATGTGTTGAAGGGTTGTACGGTGATCAGCTTGTTTAGCAGAGTTTTGGAATAAAGCCCTCAAGGTCGTCTGCACTGTCCAAATTAATAAAACTCACGAAGAATGTTCTAAGCACCGGAGCTTTGAAAACCCTTTGATGTCTGCCGTATCATGCTGCCGAAAACGAAATCAAAGAGGAACACAAACTAAATACCCATGTCGGACATCATTTTTTGTAATAAAGTCTGTAGAGAGCACTTTATGCAGTTCCACAAACAAAGATGCTTGTAAACGGATTTTATTCACTAATTTTTGTTGACCAAGAGTGGAATAAGTGGACAATCGAAGGAAACAAATGCGTCCAGGAACACTCAAACTAGAGGTGAACTACGAATACATGTGTCAGTCCGAACTGTGTGTGAAAATGTGGTTTAAAGATGTACGGGAAGGAATAATGACACCTAAACACGTGTTACTAGAGGAGCCCGACAGACACCTCTTTGTCGGCCTACTCAATGCAAGTGCCCTTATTTACAATACAAATGTTACTGACTCCCACGGGTAAGCTGGAGCCTCAGTTTCTTTCGGACATAAGCAGATACAACGGATACGGAGGCACCCTCCTAGAAACAGACATATGATGGTAAATCCCAGAAACTCAGTGACTTTTGAGCCGAGGACGACGTACGTTCCAAAAGATTTTATCTGTTGGAGACAGGCATTTTGGGTGCAGAGCCTCAAGTAGCCGCCTGCCTTGCTCCAGAAATACTCGCGTTTTTAGTCCGGTTATTCTTGGAGGTAACGAAAACTCCCTAAGTGACAAGACTTTTCTAAACAGCTGGTCTGTGAACCATACAGAGTAAGCTGAGGTAGCTTAAAGCAACCTTCTACCCTTCCATTTCTTTATCCTTTGTTTCCCACCCCAATCTCGAAGCAAGCGACTTTTTATCTAGCTTGTGACGATGCGCTTGTTAAGTTCTGGACTCTGTATGGTTGAATCTTCCGGAAACTGCAGTCTTATCAGAATGCCAATGCTTACTTGGGAACAGAGAGTGTTACAGTCAGTTGGGACATCAATGGATAAAGCAAACATGCGAAGATGGATGTTGTCAAACGAACGCATGGAGAGAATTAACAGCGGGTAGACAGTTAAGTGAAGACGCCTCTGTGCTTCAACCTGGTGCTTTGCCACTTGATGAAATGAAGGACAATGATGCACTACCGTTTACTGCTACTTGAGTTGAGAATTTATCATATGAGAGTTTGTCCATGACGACTGAAAATGATCGCTTCAAAACAATCTGTTCATTGTGAAGATGCATACCGTGAGGGAGTTTGATGTCCATGTGGTACCCTATAAGGAAAACTGACCACTCCTCATCTCTATTGGACGGAAAAATGGTGCTAGCACTTCTATTATCACCGTTTCGAAAATCAAATTTGACTTACACAATGGTGCAGACAAAACAGGCGGAAGATTTTAGCTAATGAAAGCAGACCCACGGCAGCTTCCCTAGAGCTTTCTTGCAAAATTTACGTTTAAAAATATGTGCATTTTCATTGGTCAAATCACTGAAACAGAACTGCTCATTTTTGTATTACCTATCTTACGTAATGGCACCCTATTAGGCCCATTGAGTGGAACAAATTCACTGATACTATGTGAATTTATCCTCATTCTGACGTGTAGCAATCGAATTTTGGTTACTGTTTATTTTTACCTCACGGTATTGGATGCCAAACTGTTTTGTTCCTTGTATAGCGACAGTCATTAATCATTTGTATTTTACCCTGTCGGTGAGGTATATGCGCCGAGCATAAGTGCAGCTCATCAAATGTCACCAGGATTAACCAATTGACTAATGGATGGTGAAAACTTTAGATAGGTGACTCCAAAGGTTGAAAAAAATGTCAAATGTTCCCAAGCCAAAAGCCGGAGAATCGTGTAAGAAGTCAGTCAAATTGTATAAAATTGAAATATCCCACATCAACTAATACTTAAGGTCAAGAAAAGCAAGGGCAGAATGGTAAATGAAAACATTTTGAGGAGTCAGCTCTTGGTGTACAGGACTAACAAAGTCTACACTCGTGTCAGAACGCACTGAAATGTCTCCCCAACCGCATACTGCTGGCTCCGGCCTTCGTGGTGCGGTCCCCGATTTTTTTATCAGCCCTATATACTGACTGAAACCATAATGTTAGAAATTCCACAAATACACTCGATCGCATATCGGTTTGATTTCCACGAGGGACTCATCTGAATCCCAGCTAATCGCTCGTGTATGCTGTTACCGGTCAGCTGATTGTGCTTCATCAGGCCGCCTGACCTTTTACTTCGTAGAATATTTTAGATATCGCAACCTAATACGGAAATAACCACTAAGCATGAGGTTGCTGAGGACTAAGGGGACAATCTACAATCGGTTTTGTCCTTCTTTGGGCTTATCGAGTAGGCACACTCACCGACATTTCATCAAACTTATGTTAAATTTGAGCTCAAGTTGTGCGTATTCAACCTAAAATGCCGTCAATAGTAGATTCAGATGAGGAGTTTGACCGATTTACAAATGGTGCACCAGTTTTGTGGCGCATTCAGTTAAAGCTTTTCACAGAAAAGTATTGACTGGAATCTTGTTGAGTCCTCTGGTGACAGCTGCTTGCTTTGAAAGTGAGTGTACCTCACAAGCGCGTAAAATTAGAACATGAGACTCGCCGCGACTCGAGGACTGTCTAACTGATGAGCCCCAAGCAGTGTCAGGCCTGCTCCCGGCATACCAAGAAAATAACTGCTGTATATCGAGTACGCGTCAACTGAAATACGAGGCGGACCTTGTGCAAAACGTTTACTTGAAGGATATCATAAACGGAACATTCAGATAGCTCGGTAAAAAGTGCTATATTTCAGCTACATTAGGCCGGAAAATTTGAGCAGGAAGTTAGAATACAGCTTCTCAGATGATTGTGGTCTGGGCCATTAGATTTGTTGATTAGTGTACCTTTAAGCCGTGCCTTTAACTCTATCACTAACCTGCCGGAAACATTCTGTATAACGAGAGCGGACTAAACACTGCTGCAGAGGGTGTCATGTTTCAGCTGTGATATCTTGGATGTCTGCCAACTAGCACTGGCATACTTGCTTTTCTAGGCCGAGTTAGGCATCCTTAATTTCTTCACAGAGTGAAATAATTCTACTAAACTGAACGAGTCGAAATGCATGCTTGACAGTGCTAGACTTAACGTCAATCACGTCCAGGAGCTCGCATCAACAGAGCAGTTTATACCAGATGATGCTAACAGATCAGTCAACACATGTAAGCGCTTCTTATCTTTTAGCACCACTTATAGAATCTAGATGCAGAACGTCCCTCGCTAAAACTAAGGCAAATGTCTTGATAACATTCAATGAACGTACTCAGTCTTTTGTCTTCTGATTTATAGAAGAGCTTAAATTATAAAGGCTCTGTGAATTTCGCTGTTCTATCCATGCACAGCTTCGTGGTCAACAAAATAGTGACTGGTCTATGGTCGATGGTGAGCCGTTTCTAGAGTCAACTTCATTTTGTTTATCCCGTGAGTACGCCATCAGTTTGAGCCAAACTGTTCATTATGCCAGCGTAGAATAACGGCGTCGGCGTAAGTTGTTGTCCGAATACATTCATTAGGCAAGTTTCAACCAGTTCTTGAGCTCCCCGTGTATATTCTCCCATTGAATTAAGAGACAAAGATTCTGATTTGCATAGCCAGATTACTTATACTTTAGTGTGCACAAGGTTCAAAATTGAATGAATATGTGATAAAAAAATAAACCGTAGGAACGTTGACCCTCCGTCGAACGTCCACTGTTTTTTGTCTGTTGAAAATATGTGTACATCCAACATCTCATACTAACGAAACAGCTTCTGATTGAATCCAATCAGGAAAGATGTTGAACTGATTGATGACGAAATCCAAGACATTCGGACGAGGATCAAATACTTTGAACTGAAGATGTTCCCAGAAAATGGTGAAACATAACCGGGAGATTACCAAAGAAAATTGTTCAAGAAACGCCTTACTGATAGCTATTTCTCAGAAGTAGCCACACTGAACTACTCATCAAGCGTCTAACGTTTGTCAAAGTGTAGTGCAATGTTTACCTCTGTTCAACTGGACATGTACGTCGAAAATACACAAGATCTGAACAGCTTACAGTGAACAACTCAAAGGTCAGCCGGTAAAACATGTGGGAAAATAAGCCGGATTTTAGATTTTCGTCTTGTTCTCCTACGAAGAAGTTTTTTCATTTTCCAAACTTCCGTTGACCATTTTGTTGTGCTGAAAACAAAAACTTGGAATATGTACAAACCGCAGGTAACGCGAAAAAAGAACGTTTGTCACGCTAGATCTAATCTGCCATGGGTGATTAACTGAGGCAAAATATTTAACCAGTAAAATGAGAAATTTGTGTAATCGAACCAAATCATGGGCCACTTTCAAAATTTCATGAAACGGGTGCAAATGCAAAAATAAACACACTGCTAGGTTGAACTTTGTGGTGCTTTTCAACACCTACCGTAAATGTGGCATGTAAGAAACCTCAGACAATGAAAGACGTGACTTTTAGCCAGATTGTGGCGAGGTTTTGACCTCACATAGTTGCAAGCAGTCTGGATAGGTGATTACTCGAACTGCAATGGTTAAATCACAACAATCCAACTGTGGCCGAAGAGGATTAAAAAAACACTCTTTTCGGGCGTTTTCTGCTAATAACCTGCAACCTCACATTGAACAGTGCACACTCCATTGGGACCTCCAAAAATATGCCGGACGCGCCACGGCATTGTTAATTTGGTGGAATTCAATAGACAATATATCATTAAGGTCCTTCTCGCAACCATAACGGCAGTTTGTGCTGACGAACATCAAACCTCTTTACGTATTCCTTGAACAAACCATGCCGGATATGAAGGCCAAACTGACCTCGGGAACTATTTGACTAACCTCATCAATTGCGTTTAGTCTTGTTTCGAATCTCCGAAGGGGAGAAAGTTGATCGGCAGATATAATTTAGAGCAAGAGAATCCGGGCTACAGTTTAGAACAGTGAAAGCGCAAATTGACCTATCTAGGCATACGCTTTGAAAATATGAGGCTAACCGGTCCTATAAGAAAAACAGTTACATGAATCTTCGGGGCAGCTGAGTCGGAATCATGAGTTTACAAAAGTCTACTTCAAGTTTTTGAATAACAACAGGCTATACTCACACTCGCCTCTGGTCTCTGAACGGATTTCAGTATGCAGCTCGGTTTCAACGTATGCATGGCATTGAGAGTCCGCAGTTTTTCCAAACGAGCCAAAAGATTTTCCTTCTTTGTTACTTTGCGTAGAATCGGTTTCGGGCTGCACAAGAGAATAGGAGTGTATTCTGTTAAAGTCCCGCGAATCGCGTAACTTTCAAATTGTACCAATCTTTTATAGGCTAAGGCACCATGAAAGCAAACAAAATTCAGCAGTTTTGGCAGTGCGTTTTGGGACATGCAAGAAAAATTGAAGCGAAACATAATGAGAAAAAATGTCCGTTCAGGGTCAACAAGTTACCGGAAAATGTAGCCTTTGGGTGCATCGAGAAATATGTGTATAAACACTTGGAAATGGTAAAGCGTACTGAGATTAGATCACGTGCCAGGAAATGGAAAGTGCATTGATGTGTTATCCAGCCAGTTTCCATAAAGTAACGTGTAACCGGTAAAAGTAGGTAAACTTGTAAACTATTCTTGTGAAGTTTCTTGGTTGGGATTCTCATATTTAGGTATATATATATATATATATATATATATATATAGTGGG